TGCTGGTTGTTATTGATTACCGGATGGGCGACCAAACAGGAACTGTGACACACACCATGCCCCTATATTAGCTCCCTCAGTCGGAATACGGTTGTTGCTTTAGGTTGATAACTGGTGTAAAAACATGTCAAATCGTAAGAACGAGCCGAAATCAATTAGTTTACATAGAGGCCAGAGAGATGACGATTTATTTATAATTTTCATATAGTACTCAAAAATGGAAAATTTTTATCTTGTAGTATATATTGTAGTCTAGTAGATAAATATGATTCCTTAAATGGGGGTAAGTCGCCTATAAAAAAACCCAATTTAATTATGTCGTTATAAGTTTTAATCAACTGTAAATTCATAAAAAAAAAAAAATAACAAGACTCCGAACCCGTAGAAAAATGTTGAAAAATAGTTTATCCTGCCAGACAATGTTTTGTTTAAACCACCATAAAACCCTGAGAAATATTAAATATAGACCGCTGTCAAATAAAAGCACGGGAGCATGTTTCTGCAGTAGATAGGGTGCAAATTGCTTTTTTTATCTGCACAAAAATAATTATGCAAACGTAAAAATAATATTTAAATTAAACGGCTGCTTTTTAGTCTCTTTACATGGGTTGACTGTTATTGTTTATGTGTTAAATTAATTTTTCAACGACTCCCCTAGGTACAAAAAAAATTGTTATTACTCCACAGCTCATTTTATACAGTCTATTCAATGTATAATAATTTAATGATAAAAAATATTTTTAAAAACACATAAATTAGTTAATTAATTGAATGAACTTTAAAAACATATACGTTGAGTTAGTGAAAATACACATTGAAAATTCTTCAACTTCTATAAACAACATTTTTTAAATAAATTTTCTCATCTCGTCACGGCTGTATTGTTATATTCAATCTTTGTAACGTATCAGGTATTGACTGCAAGGCCAAGTGTGGATCAATGGCGAACTTATCAGGAAAAGCCATTACCCAAATACCTGTAGTCATAATTTGACAATTAATGTATGTGGTCGAATTTATGCTATAAATATTTTCTAAATTTTCTACTCTATACCGAGTTAAGCGACAGAAACTAATTATATTTACAACACATTAGCTTATCATCAACTACATTAGTATCAATATTGGATGTTGTGGGTAAATTATACTGTAACTTTTGCTAAAAGTATACCTACGTATTTCATTATGTGAAAATACATCGGAAGACTTTTAGCAACTTTACCACATTATGGGTAAAGTTCATTTTGATGAACATATTCTCTGTATATAAATATTAGGTTTAAATATTAATTTGGAATGTAAATTATTTAATAAATATAAATTAACTAGGAAATGAAACTCAAATATTTTTATTTCACTTATTCTCCTTTAACAAGTAACTTATATTAGTTTCTTTTATAGCTAAGATAATAATAACAAAACACAATTAAACATGTGTGAATACATTAAGTTATTTGCATTTTGTTAATAATTTCGTATACATGACAAGATTTTGTTTGTCGTTTAAAATTTGTAATGTTACTGACACCGAGAATGCAAATCCTTTTAATCCTGATTTGCTTCAGGAACTATACAAAAACTTTTTATCACAATTTATCATGTATCGTGTAGAAAATAAATAACACTTCCTACAGTGTAAATCGAAATATTTTATGTATGTCTGAGATTAAATTGTAACTGACTTATTTATTATGAATCAACACTAACCATAATAAATAATCATTATTTACATCAAAATGTTTATGTTTAGGCATAAAATAGCATCTACTTGAATTATACTGTTATAAGTCAACTGTTTCTATTGTACTAAATATTAGTTAACAAATACACAAATCCTGCTATTCATCAGTTCATCTCATCAAGTTTAAATCAGAACTTTTAAACTCAATATGTATTTAAAGTAACGTTAATTCATATACATCTACATTATTGATATAAAAAATAATTTATTAATTTCAATTATTACAATATTTAATCATAATTTATTATAATGAAATAGTTGACAATATAAAAAAAGCATAATTTACAAAAAATGTTTAACATTTGTAAAAATATCGATAGTACCAAACATTTTGCATGTAACTCAATATATTTTATTTACAACATAAGGCTAAGTTAAATAGTAAATATTTATTAAGATCTCTTATTTTAACTAATGATGTTGAAGATGAATATTTGGAAACGAGCTTAGACAATTTATGCGAATATTTAAGCAAATGCGAACCTATAGTTCACCGAATAATCGTGCTGAAATTTTTTAAAATTATTTATTATTATTCCACCCCACCCATTAATATGATTTTTAAAAAATTATTATAAAATACACTTCAATTATTCCGGAACATTAAACAAATTGTACTTTTAATAAAATTAGTTTAATAATATTATACTAATTTTATTTGTTTTATAAAAGGGATAAGAGGGGGTCAACTCATCGTTACTATTCTAGTAATCGATTGCTGTGTCATCTGTAAAGATAATAATGCAAGTTAGTTGATCTCTACCGTCTCAGAGCTCATACCTGCGGAAGTGTACTTGATTAACTGTAAACTAATGAAATGTATAATAAAATATTTTCTTATATATTTATACCCTCTATATTTTTAAAAGTATTATATTTTAAAATTAAAAAAGTAACTTTAAAATCTTTTTATTCTAAGGTTAAATTATGAGTTTACATAGTGAAGACCTCAAATGTGTACTAGATCATTATGATTTTATAAATTATTTTTTGATTAAACATAAATATTGTCTAAACGTTTTTAAAAAATAACAATCAAACATCCGCGAAAATTCAACAGGATTTTCAATCATAATTCAAATTAAAAAAAAATTAATTAACGACACTACCAACTAATTTTAAGTAAACAACGTGTATTTAATTACGATACAATTTTTCGGTAAATATCACGTACGATCAAATGAGCCAACTTTGGGGTGGTTCAACTTGAACCAGTTAAATATCTATTAACATTTCAATCGTATCAATCTACAGTATCAGTAAAATGTTAACAATATTGTTAAAAAACACAAAATATTGTTCACAAAAATTAGGTAATGAAATCTGTTGAGGGATGAGCGGGAATATTACTATTAACTAAATGAATTTTATTCGTTCCTCGATTTTGTTATAATTTATTATTAATAATACAATATTCTCCAATAATGGAAAGTAATAAAATTATTTTATTTTGTAACGCATCGAATGCGGATTGGTGTATCCGCGGTGTACTAATCTTGATGAAAAAATTGCGATAATGAGCACCTTTTATTCTAGTGGCCGACCAATAAACATAGGCCGTAACAAATTCAATTGCTACAAATTTAACCACCGCAATCAAATTTGGCGGCATTTTGAATTTTCATATTCATATGTAGTCTGACATGCTATAACGTGCAAGATTAAACAAATATTTAAGATTTACATTATAAACAATTTCTAAAATTTGTAGAGTTATCTAAAAAAACTACAGTAATGTTTTATTTTTATTGGTATTGGGAGGGGACTAAGAACCTTATTTTTGTGCTTTGCTTAACACAAGGTCTTAATAGTGCCAAACGTCTTATATTGTTAATATCGAAGCCCTCCATTGACTACACAACTACTGGTCTTCATAGACTACAGATTCTCAGGTAGTTATTTTAAAACTAAAATAAATAATCGATTCATATTTATTGAAATTAACTATAATTTTTTTTCGTTATTTATGTTAGTCAGTAATAAGCTTCTTAAAAATCAATATTATAGTAATTCCTGCAATACTTTATCACGATATCGAAAAAATATTGGTTAATTTTAATACTATGATAAAAATCCCATTTCTCAAAATATACTAGTGTAATAATATTTTAAGAATATATTTAAATATTGAATCGTACGACTTAAAAAAAAATGTTAGCACAGTTAGCCACGGCAAGTTGAGACAAATGTAAATATCTGGCAGTGATTATAATTACTATAATAAAAACCGCTAATTATTAGATAATTAGTAACTAATTAAATTATTTTTTAACTAATCCAAGTTCAGTTAGTTTCAAAAAATGAGTAGCTATCTCTATGGTATTCCGCAAATGACTTGATAAATTAACCACATATGAACATAATCTTACATTATCTCTTGATAATGAAACGTACAATGTAAATGTAATTAAAGACAACAACATTGCCTATCTTAGTAAAAATCCAACTTCAAACTATATTTTTAAATAAAATATTATACTAAACGTAATTGAATTGGACATATAAAACGTTGTACGGTTTTTACAAAAAGAACATTTTTTTTATCATAGATAACTTGGTGGTTATAAACAATTTTTATTTTATTTAAGCTAGGCAAATTTAAAAAAATATACAAGTTAAGTATTAATAGTGACATAAGATCTCTATTAAATGAATAATAAATTGAATCAAAATGAAAAATAAAATCGTATTTTTATAATTTTCCTATCATATGTATCATATGTTAGTCCATATTAAGTAAAGTACAGAAGTAAAAACTGTCATATTATGTTATTTACTGGTGACAGTATGCGATTTCTTTTACATGAAAATTATATAAAATAGTTTTATATTGTAAAAATTGATTAAAAAAACAAAAAAAGTATAAAATTTAATGTAGATCATAAGTTATATGAGTGATCAGTTAGATCTGTTCTACTCTGTATATAGAGTACCCTTATAAAAAAAATAATGATAATCCGTATTTTTTTTAATTCTATGTTTCAAAAAGTTAAAGCAATATAAAGTTGAAAAAATAAAATATGAAATACAAAATTTTAACACAAAATGTTTTTTAACTACAGTCGCAATTTGCACATAGAAGATAAGGTGTATGGATAATTTATTTGTGTGGCACATGAAAAGTATTCGAGGCAACAGTTCTATTTATAAAAAATTATTATACTATACTTTATACATAAATGTCAACATTTTTAGTTTTATTATTTCTAAATGTAGAACAGAATAAATACGTGTCTTTTGACACTTTGTCGAATTATATTTTGTGTAAAACATTTCAACGATAAATATTAATAATCATTTTCAAAATGTTTTCATTAAAACTAGTCAATTTTAGTTTATTATTATTTTATGTGTTTGTATATTCAAAAGCACATAGTACTTCAAAAAAAAAAATTTATCAACTGGATAAACTACTAAAATATCCGGGATGGAAAAATTTAAATGATACAAGCTATATAAAATATTGTAATAAAAGTTATTATCTTAATAATCTGATTGAAACACCAACACGTACTATTCACGGTGAGTCAAAGATACGAGCCTTGACTTTATTTCTGGGATGTTCATATGCAAAAGTTATGATTAATATTTTTTCAATTATTGTCAATTGGCAAGAAATTTGTAAAAACAAAAATAAAGAAGACCACGACTTATTAAATGGATGCATTTATACTAAAGAACTCATAAACGTAATAGCCAAGTTAATTGTTCCAATAGCAATATTGTTAAAAAACGCAATGGACGCTTTAGATTCATTACATCATTTTCCATCGGCTAATTTTAAAATTTATCAACAAAAGCCCTACATGATAAGAGTTTTATTAAATAAAATAGGAAATATTCTTGACCAATTGAATGATCCGATTTTACTGATTTTAAGTGGTAATATATCTATAAAGTCTTCCGCATTTAAATTTTTAGATTTTTTTTCTAAAAAAATAATAACAGGTTTACAATATGAAACACACGCATATTGTGAATTTGTTCCTTATGATACGAATTATTTATGGAATGAATGGGTTGAAGAATATAAAATCATTAACCAGAGAGAAATGTTAATATTTTTTAAATTCTTAACTAGAAAAATGAATTATTATATCAAGACAGTAATCATAGAAATGTATTTTCAATTGGGATTTAAATTTGATCCAATTACCGAAGAAACGTTTATACCAACACCAGAGGAACTAATTGAACTAGGTATTTAATATAAAAAAAAAAACCCAGCACAGGGGGGTCGCGGCACAGTGGTGACGTGGCATAGTTGGATCAAGTATAATGATATCTGACAGTGATTAAAATCACTATCAAAAAAAAACGCTTCGATGCAAATCTTTAGATAGTGTTTAATTTTAAAAAATTGGTGGATTATTCCAAAAGCTTCATAAACTGCTAGTTCCTTATTAATATCCTGATTAAGA